AGATTTTATTAAAACCACGGCAGTTCCAATTTTCCCCATTTTCCCTCTCTCTCCTATTCGACTTTCTAAGAAACCTAACACTCAAACTAACCAAGATACTCCCAAATTTCACCAAAATAACTCACCCAAACACAAACCCACACCATTTTCGGCCCATTCCTCTAAGATTTGTGCATTATCTCCCAAAATGGTGAAGACTAAAAGAGTTGTAAAGAAAGCAAAAGGGCAAGCGGTAAGCACGTCTGGAAGGCATTGCAGGATTGAGTAAAGTCTTGAGGAGAGCGGTAAAAACACAGACATCGAGCAGGTATTTCAACCGATAACCCTCAAAACTTTGTATCTAGAAATGCTATAGAAGCATATAATAAATTAGAAAATAGGAAAGTCATTTATGGGTTTAGAGTAGTTTTGGATGATATATGCAAAGGGGGGCTGCATAGAAGAGAAATGTTAGATGCAATGGGGTGGACTGAATTAGTAAGTAGAAAGGTGAGGGTTTACCTGCAATTGATAAAGATTTTTTATGCAAATTTGAGTGATTCGGAGGATGGAGGGTATAGAACAACAGTTCTTAAGAAAACTTTTGAATTTGATGCTGAAATCATAAATGATGTTTTACATTTGCCAAATGAGGGAGCCATGGAATTGAATGCATTTACAGAGGAATCAAGAAAGAAATTTATCATGGGGGATGAGTACAATGAGGGACAAACATTAACCATTCACCACTTGAATTTGGAGAATCGGTTAATGTTTTGGATTTACAATCACATAATTTTGCCAAGGCAAGGTTCTTTTGGGAAATTTAGTGGTCTGGATTGTGTGTGGTTTGCATATATTCTTGATCAGAGGCAGATCAATTTAGGACACCATATTATGAGACAAATGGTGTATTATAGGGGTAGATCGACACTCGCACTAGTGTATGGCACTCTCATCACATTACTTATGGAAAACGCGGGTGTTGTTTTGCGTGGTATGGAGTCCCGAGACCTACACAGTCACAAACTTCTAAATGAGAGTTCACTGAACAAAATGAGGTATATATTCAGTGCAAGAACAAATTCTTGGGAAATGAAGCAGAAAAGGAGAAGAGGAGGACAAGATGATGAAGGTGAGGGGTTTGATGATGAAGAACATGCCGAAGAAACTAAAGAAGCAGGTCCCTCACAAGCTGCTTCATCTCAAGTTCCTCAAAGATTAACCACACAGAGAGGAATGCAGCTCATTCTCGAGAGACTTGCACGGATTGAATCGAAGCTCGATGATACATTCACGACTGTCAGATGGCAGCATCTATAGGTCCTCGAGGGACAATAGGAGATCCATCTACTGTTGACACATCATCCAAACAACAACCCATTGATCCCTTTTCACATCCAGAAGCATAAATCCTCCCGTTGCAGTTGTTGATGGCTGTTAAATTATCGTTTTAGTATTTGAACACTCTTTGGAAGGTTTTTTTTAATGTTTTGACTTTTTATATTTTTGAATATGTACATATAATGTTGACATTAGATGCAATTTAATTTAATGTAGTTTTTAACATCAATGAGCATAGCATAATTGTGATGATTTTGTATTGGTTGTGATGGGAATCAAGATGACCCCACATGTATCATGTCAAGAGATCCATTACATATTCCAAGAGGTCTAGTCACAAGAGCTAGAGCTAAGAAGATGCGGGAAGCTTTAAATGGCCTTATTGAGCAGATCTGGGTTGATAACAACATGCACATGTAAATCAAAGCTTGGATGATTGTCAAGGCATGATAAACATTATTCAGGTTGAAGAGAAGCTTAATTGAGGTCATTTGTGCTAAATTACACAGTTTGCGTCAATCTCGCAATTCTGTTGCAATTTGTAACAAACTGATATTTCATGTTACTTTAGGTTACTTTTAGTGTTTTTGATGTCTTTTTATATTATTTTGGGCTGAACATTCATTTATTTAAGACCCAATTCGTGGTTATTAGGTTTAGGACTTAGGGTGTTAGTTTCCTATTCTGATTAGGATTTGTTTTCTCTATTTAAAAGGCTTGTAACCCTAATGAGAAGGAGGCTATTGAATCTGAGATTTTGAGAGACTTTTCTCTTTGGTTCGTTTCAGAACTTTATAGAACTTATCAAGATTATTCTTATGGCGTTCTAACCTGACTTATCATTCTCGTTCTTAATCG